AATGTCCCAAGATTATTTAAGGCTGTAATTTAAAATATTTTTCATTTGTTAAACTTGAAAATTTCATTCTGAACTGGATTATTAGTTTTTTGAATGGGTCATCGATCGTAAATAATTATGAATTTATCAATATTTAAACAACAACCAATGTTGTTTTTTGCTGGGGCAGGAAAGTACTATATTTTTGCTACTGTGAAGAATAACAAATCGGTATGTCGCCGGATATCACTATACAGAACGTCTCTTTCAAAGAACAAATCTTATTCCTTGGCAGTATCACAGCAGAAATTTCCTACTAAAGATCAAGCAATTATTTTTAGTGCTTTAAATAACGCCCATCTTTAGGATTATTTAATCCCGCTAGTCACTATAATTGATCCAAAAAATATATTTGTTATTCTCTTCTCGTTTATCTAATAATGGAATGTGTATGTATCTAAGTAGTAACTTCAGCGTAGATGAATTTATGGAGAAGTATGACTTCTATTAAAGTGCAAAGAAAAATCTTACGAGCTAGAAGACTTTTAATGCCTGCTGAAAGGCTAGTGTAATCTAATGTCAGTCCAACAATTCCACATGATGTACTTATCTGAAAATTAAAAAGAAATGGGCTTAAACCTCGTTTCCTCCATTACGTTCTTAAAAATCAGTGCTACACTATCAGAGTATAACCACATATTAAGCTTTAGAAGACAAGTATTTGTCAGTCCAGATAATATCACTATCCCAGATTCTAATAAAAGATCTAAATGATTTATGAAAACACCTCTTACAAAATTTCCATATCTCAAAACAATCTGATTTACACGTGTAAGCAATTAGGTCATATTTCAAACATTGTCCAAACATCAACAGTATACCATCAACCACTCTTCCACTTTTCGAAAAGATAGAACGAACACTAATTGCGGAAGTGGAGGAGTGGCAATCTTGGTGAAAATTTTAATCGACCATGAAGCCTTTCCACCCATAACAGACCTCGAAGCCATTACGGTAAAGATTTTAGAACCACAAAGAAAATTCTACATCTGTAATATTTACTTGCCTCCTAACATACAAAATACAAATTTAAGAGAACAAATATTAAAGAAAATTATTACAGCTTTTCATCTAAAATTTTTAAATGATAACGATAAAACCCTACTAGATTTAATATATTGACAGGTAAATCATCAGTTCTGATCTTTTTTATGTGCTCCTAACTTAACCATAGGTTTAGACTGGAAAGTATTGTCTTTTACATATGGAAGTGGTCACTTTCTCATAGTTATTACAAATCTCAACCATGTGCAGAAATATTAAGAATTTAGTCCAAAGTTGAAAAATAACAACGCAGATTGGGATCATTTTCTCAATATACTGATAGTCATATATCTAGGGCCCAAATAACCAATGCTATTAACGAGATCATTAAATTACTCAATGACATAATTTTAGAAGATGCTGTATTGTACATTGGTAAATCAAAACAAATACAGTTACGTACACCAGTACCGTGGTGGTCAAAAGAATGCAAAGTGGTCATAAAAATAGTAAATCTGCTTTTAATAATTATAAGAAGCACAAGACACCTCAAAAGAGAATTAATTTTAAAAAATTAAAGGCAAAAGCGCAGCTTACTAAAACGCAAGCTAAAACGGAATTCATGGCAGAAGTTTGTATCTGAAATAAATAACACAGCTAGCTCCAAGGAAGTCTGGCAAAAAAATTAGAAAAATTTGTAGTAGCTTGCAGAGGACTTTTATCAAACACTTCAAAGTACAAAATAAAATAGTATCCAAAGATGAAGATATTGCAAACGTTCTAGCGGATTTTTATGAAAGCCTCTTAAAGAACAAAAATTCCAGATTCTTCAAATTCATCGTATACCCATACTCTTGCTAATAATGAAAATCTTAACGTAGCAAATAATAGTCGCATTAAATTTTAAGAACCAATTCAGTACTTTTAAGCCTCACAGATTGTTGTTCTGGACCTAATGACATCCCAACCGTATTTCTAAAAACATTTTCCGGACTCAGCCAAATATCATTTACTTGACATTTTAATTTCATATGAAAGACCAAAAATCTATCTAAAAAGACAAAAAATCACAATATAGTGTGGAATCATACACCCAATCTCAGTTACTTGTTCCGTGTGCAAACTTATAGAAAAAATCATTAACAGTAGGTTATTGTGGACATTGGAACAAAATCGATTGCTGATTACTGAGCAAAATGGATTTGGACAAAATCGTTCAACGGCTGATAACATTCTGGAACTTAAAAGCGATATTATGGAATCCTTTGTAACTAATAGAAAGTGGACCGCAATATTTTTTAAATAAATGCCTTAAATCCCTTTAAAACTTAAAAATGCCTTGAATACTGTCAGGAAACACAGGTATGTTGTATTAGTGGAATGTCCGGGGACACAGTTTATCGTTTATCAAAAATTTTTTAAACAATCGGACTTTTCGGGTAAGATTTGCTCAAAAACTTACTGCTTAACAAATGGAGTACCACAAGGGTTTGTTCTTAGCCCAACACTCTTCCTAATAACGGTTAATGATATTTTGAAAAACATATAAAAACCTTTAAAAGTACGGATTTATACTGACAATTTAGTGGTATGTACAAAAGGAAAAAATATAGATAGTATTTCAAAATGCTTGCAAAGCTTTATCAATAAACTGGAAATATGGTCTCTGAATACTGGCTTTGAATTTTCTACTACAAAAACAAGTGTTATGGTTGTTGCAAAAATAGCAAATGTAAGTATTGCGACAAATTTTACGTTATACAGGAAACCAATAACAGTAGATCCTTATATTAAATTATTAGGAATGCATTTAGACAACAAACTGACATATCTAGAACATATAATGCAGTTACAATTAACTTGTCATAAGATAATAAATATTTTAAAAACATTATTAAACAGGAAATTGGGTTTCAACCAAAATACAATATTGTCAGTATACAAATCGGTAATCAGGTCTAAACTCGATGGCTTATTATTCTGTCAGAAAGTCTATTTTAAAATCATTAGATTTAATTAATAATAATGGTCTATGAATCGCACTACGAGCATTTAGAAGTACACCTATTGAGAGCATATACGGTGAACTTGTTGAACCATTCCTTTACCATAGATGAATGCAACTGACATTAACACATTCATCCCTGGTATACTGTAATCGACAAAAACCTATTTACAGTAACACCTTTATAGACAAATATAACGAACTTTTTAATTATAATGATAAAATAAGAAAACCATACTATGAAAGATCTAGAACATATTGTTACAAATCTCAACCGTGCAAAAATATTAAGAATTTAGTCCAAAGTTGAAAACTAACAACGTAGATTGGGATTATTTTGATATTCACATATCTAGGGCCCAAATAACCAATGCTATTAACGAGATCATTAAATCACTCAATGACATAATTTTAGAAGATGCTGTATTGTACTGTAAATATAATGATAAAATAAGAAAATCATAGTATGAAAGATCTAGAACATATTGTAATAAATTAAACTTTGATTTCCGTGACATATTCGATCCAAACATCGCCGATCCTCATATCTCTTGGTCAATCAATATTCCACAGTGTAATGTATATTTGACCAAATATAAGTCGGAAATAGGTCCCTCAGAAACAAAAACTATTTTGTCAAATATACTCCAAACTTATGAAAATTTCTCCAAAATATTTACAGATGCTAATTTAAGTAAAAATCTATTTCAACTATCTCCCACTGTAGCATATACATAGCCGAATTATTCGCTCTCTATCGAGCAATTGAGTTTATTAATGATACCAATATTGTCACAGCGGTGATTCTTTCTGATTCTTTGAGTTCAATTACTTCAATTCAACGAGTATATCCTAAATACCCAATTAAAAAAATGATCAAATCAGAACATACATGTCAATAAAATGGAGTTGACTTCATATAGATTCCTTGTGTCGGTGCAGTGTCTAGTGCGGACCCAGAAATAATAAAATGCGGTCCAGAAGACTTAAAACTTTCTATTAAGGCAAAAATCTTGGAAGTCTGGAGTAACGAATGGCAAATATCAACGTCTAAACTTCGACAAATTAAAGACACAGTTAGAGGAACTAAACCTTTTTACAAAGATTGCCATGAACAGAGTGTAGACTGTAGTTAACCGATTACGATTAGGCCATACTAGACTTACACACTCTTATCTTTTTTCAAAATGTAATCCACCAATATGCGAGCTCTGCAATTCAACCTTAACAGTAAAACATATCTTTGCATGTGACAAATTCAAACATCAACAATATAAATTCAAATTATATCAGTTGTGTTAGGCCAAAATAGTTATTCAAAGAACTTAATAGATTATTTAAAAACTATCGATGTGTTCCATAAGATTTAATTTTTTTTGTATAAAATTGTTTACTTTTTATTAGTCTTTATAGTAAAAAAATCTTTTTTGTAACCATGTAATATACCTATACTTGTAAAATTGTACATATCCGTCGCTAATAACCATTAGGTGGATGTGACTTTGTCTTTAAAATAAAAAAAAATATTTCTATAATGTAACAATAAAACACTGAAATCTTTGTTTTCAAACTTCCACAAAATTTTTCAGTGTTTTATTGTTACATAAAATGAATTTCCATCAAGTAACGGTCGAATCAATCAAATTTCTATATGTTTATTGCGGTTTTTCTTTCTTCAAATTCTCCAAATTTGAAATTAAATGGTTTGAAGTACATCTTTTTAATCTTAGGTTTTTTTTAATTCCCTGTCAATTTATCTTCTGCAGTACAACATTAAGATCATTATGACTAAATTTTAAATTTTAAGCTACATACGTGTAAGTTATCTTAGACGATTTAATTTTCCTAAGATTCTTTATTTTTATGAAGACAATCTACTGTTGTAATATTTTTCTTTTGTACAGTTATTCAGTTGTAGATTTGTATTTCTTAAATTTTTATAAAAATATTAATAAGAAATTCTGTGTTTTAGGATTTTTTCACAAGTTTGGCCAAGTACTGGAACTCCAGCATTAGCTACATTTATAAGCGGCTTGACAGCAGCAATAGCCGCACTATTCATAAGACTAGAAATACTAGTAGAAATGATGTCGATTGGTAAGAAACTCTGTTTAACTTTCTAGAAAAAGACTGTATTTAATAATTAATAAATTAAAGAAATCCTAGATTTCGAAGTCAGACACGTGGGTGCACTCTTTATAGAACTCGACGGCATCTATAAAAGCTTTTACATCAGCCCCCTTTGATCCATCGAAGCGAGAAGCGCATTTTGCTAAACTACCTGAGTCCGAAATAGGCCTTGCTATTGTATCTAATAAGGCTTGAAACTGTTCGCTTGTTAAATTTACCGAAGACATTTCTGCTGATGTTGATTCGCTTGAACTAAAAACCGTCGTCGACCTAAGCGAATAACTGTGTTTATCGTTTGTTACCGTGATTGCAAGTTTAACACAAAAATAGTAATAAAAATTAAAGGCTTACAGTTTCTATTGCTTATTTCTTGTAAATACCCTTGAATGGAAGCTTGATATTCCCACAGGATGTTTCTGAATGGACGTAGTGGAATATTGATATTCCCACAGGATGTTTTGAATGGTCTGTAGTGGAAGATTGATATTCCCACAGGATGTTTTTTTGGATGGTCTGTGCGGAGTTTCCACAGCAGTCACATACACAGTAGATTTATTGTTGTGAAGCACTAAACTAAGTGAAAATGTCCACTAATCACCTTACAATGGCGGGAGCAAAAACACTTTTTCCTGTTCACAATGAAACTTTACGATTTTCACAGTACGAACTACACTTTAAACTATTTTGCCCAAGTTGGGTGCCAGTTGTGATGTGGGTATTAGTTAAAAATAGTTAGGTAATGACTATGAATATTAATTTACACGATTTTATTAAAAAAGAAAACCATGTGTTACAATTTACCCTAGATCTTACAACAACAAACATATGTGTCTGTCTCTTGTCACCGTTCACTCTCGGTGGACACTGTCATGGTAACTTCGGTGGTATTCAGTCACGGAGCGGTGTGACTGTTACAATTATTTAATATATTTTTAGAAAAATTAATTAAACATTTGAAGAATAAACACTTTCAATTCGCAACTTACTTTCGCACCTTCACTGGTCTTAATAAAAGTTAGGCAAAAATTGTTTTAAACGTCCAATTTATGTTCCATCTTGAGAAGGTTATTCTGTCTGAAATTTTTTTAATGTCATTAAAATTTTCAATTAAATTTTCATCGTCCACTTCAATTGTGGTCTTTTAGGTGGCTACTAGCAAAAAAATGCTATTACGCTTTGTCAATTCTAGGAATGACTTGATGGCACGCTCACTTGATGGCACGTAAAGAACATTTTGTTCTTTACGTGCCATCTCCGTGACGGAGGTTGACAATCATCATGGCTATTCTGATCTTAGATGCTGCCGCTCTGAATAGTTCGATTGATGTGCATCCGTACCATTTCCTTAAGTTACACAACCATGAGATTTTTCTCCTTTATACACTTATCTTGCCCTGAATTTTCCCTTGTATAATTAATTGAAGTATGTTGTATCTTTAACACTACCAGAAATCTTATGATCATGAATATCATATCTTGCTTATAAATAAAATGGTTAATTCTCCTTAATACTGCAATTAGGTAACTTAAAATTTGCTATTTTTCAGAAGAGTAGATTTGAATTTGAAAAGAAACAAATCGTGCTGTATTACAGCAAATGACTTTCTTTCAATTAAAAAAAATTAAATATATCTAATTGTCGACTTAGCAATAAATACAACCTTTTACTAAGAAAAAATAATTATTAATGTATTTTGATCAAACAATAATAAAAAAAAGTAGAAGAACTTTTATAACCAATATTTTTCTTTCACTCGGTCTCACTTATGTCAGATTCAGTTGATACTTCTCTTCCTAACTTTAAAAGGCAGGTTTTCAAATTAATCCTGTTTTTTTTTAGGGAATTGCGGGAGGTTTGGTATTAAACAATGTCAAAAGAGTAATATGTCAATGTCTTTTTCCAGAGTAATAGGAATTCTCTTCTTATACAAAGGATTTGGCATTATTATAGTTATATTTTAAATCGATTTTGTCCTTCTCTGTCAATTTAAAGTTCTAAATTCTTCGTTAAAGTTTCCTTTAAATTTGATTATGTATGGTTCTAGTCTTGTAGTAAATGTGTTTAGCCTACTCTTTGGAACTCTGTTGAAATGGAAGTTTAGCTCAATTTTTTCCGAATGGGAAATATTTTGAACAGTTGTTAAGCACCTACTAGCGACGTTTTTATTTTAAATTTCATCCACTACATCTATCACTAAAACACTGAACCTGAGTTACTCGTTCCGGCAAAGATTCAAACTATTCGTATACGCAAGTGGCAATCTCACAGCTGCCTCGTTTTTCCTCAACCTCTGTCCACATGAAGCAATCACCTGTTTAGAGACTGTATTATAAATGGTAAAGTTAAATACTTTTAATCTTTGGTTATAAAATAAAACGTTATTCGTTGGGTCATTTGGTACCAAAATCACTTGTTGAAGATCAAAATTGCAACTTATGAGTGTACCGGTTAAAACAAAACATACAACCCGACACTGGTCGTTACGAGGTCGGTAGAAACCAAGGTTTATTCCTCTGAAAATCATAATCAATTAGCCCATATTTGTCCCTGCTGAACGTAGGCCTCCCGTAAAATTTTCCACTTATTTCTGTCTTGGGCTTATTGCATCCAGTTTGTGGTGATGCGCTTGATAGCATCCGTCCATCTAATCCGTGGTCGTCTTCTGTTTCGATATGCATCTTTCCTTGGTCGCCATTCCAGAATCTTCTTGGTCCATCTGTCATCCGTTAATCTGGCAACATGTCTGGCCCAAGCCCATTTAGCCCTGGCTATTTTTTTCAATTGCATCTGTGACTCCTGTTCTTCTTCTTTTTTCTAGGTTTGGTTCTTTATCTCTGATGGTAATACCTAATATTGATCTTTCCATAGCGCGTTGTGTAACTCTTATTTTATCTATTGTTCTTTTTGCCAGAGTCAGCGTTTCTGCACCATATGTAAAAACCGGTAAAACGCACTGGTTAAAAACCTTTCTTTTTAAACAAACTGGGATACTAGACTTGAAAATGTTATTCAATCTACCAAAGGCAGCCCATGTGAGACCTATCCTTCTTTGTATTTCAGTTGTCTGATTATCTCGGCCTAGGCGAATCTTATACCCTAGATATTTGTAAGCTATTACTTGGTCGATGCTATGTCTCTCAATCAGAATTTTACCGCTGACTACAAGGTTGGTCATAAATTTTGTTTTTGAGGTGTTAATTTTAAGACCAATTGATTTTAATACTTTATAGAGCGTGTGCAGCATTTTTGTAGCTTTATCAACTCTATTAGATATTAAAACGATGTCATCGGCAAATCTTCAGGTGGTTCAGATCTTCACCTTTATATTAATTCCCATATTATCCTCTCGTTCCATCTGCTTGAACATATATTCAAGAACAGCTGTAAAAAATTTAGGGGAGATAGTATCACCCTGTCTAATTCCACATTCTATTCGAAACTTCTTGGTATTCTCTGAAAATACCTTTCTATTAATAGCAAGTTAGCTTGTGTTTGACTGTTCTCACTGCATTCTTTCTTGTATAATGAATACATAAGAGTGATATATAGGTCTGAGGATAAATATTTTCCTTGTGTTTTTGAACAGGGATATTGTGAAACAATATATTACTGCCTTGGGATATACAGAATTGAAATCCTTTTTGAAATCTATGCAGGTTATTGCTAACGGTATTTTGTATTCTTTAGCTCTACTTATTAGTTCTCGAAGGATATAAATATGATCCATGGTACTAAATCTACTTCTAAAGCCAGCTTGCTCTCTCGGTTGTGCAGCAGCTAATGCACTTGTTAATCTGTTGTTAATGATCTTTGTGAATATCTTGTATCTGAGTAGTAGTACATTTATACGTTTGAAGTTTTTGATATTTTCTTTTTTACCTTTCTTATAAATAAGAATTATGTTTGCTGTATTCGAGTGGTCTGATATGCATTTCGATCATAGGTAGTTTGTAAATAGCTAAGATTTTCCAGGTTTTATGCCATTCATGTTTAAGCAGTTAAGCAGTTATACCATCTATTGCAGCTGCTATACCACCATTTATTTTTGTAATTGTTCTACTTCTTTCGGAATTACTTCTGGTACATCTTCTTGGCTACTGATTACTTCTTCAAGTGTGTCAGGAGCTTTCTCTAGTTTGCTGTAGAATTTAGGTGTTTTCGTTTGTTAGAGATACAATTTGCTACTTTCCAATGATTAATGGTTGTCTTGTATGTTTGTAATTATTTCTGATCTGGATTACATTTTTATCAGTATTTCATTATATTTTCTTATGTCTTTCTAAATGCTTCTCCTTATTATCTTACAAAGTTCTGTGTATCATATTTTATGTATGTTGCTACCCACTTTCATTTCCCTTCTTTGTTTTGGCATAATATTTGGTTTTATCAGACAGTTTATGTTCATTTTGTTGTTGCATGCCTCCGATTTCTTTGGCACTATTAAGGATAATGTCCATTAATGGAGTGCTCTTGATTTGGCTATGTAATCTTTCATCAATTGTCCTTTGGTAGTTATCTTAGCTTTCTATAAAAGTGTTAATATTTATACCGTTATTCTCAGTTTCGTGATTAATTTTATTTATTCTTTCTAGTTTCAGATCTAGAACAATTTTTGCTCTGATTAGTCTATGGTCGCTGCCTGTTTAAAATTTATTTATACACTGACATCTTTTATTGAAGCAATCTTGTTGGTTAGAATAAAGTCAAACTTCGTTCTTAGTGATTCCATTTGTTGCAAACTTCTCCACTTTGGCATTAAAGTCACCAATTAAATTTAGTGAATTTAGTGGAATTAAAGTGACTTTTATGGTTATTTAATGCTTCATTTATGTTACTGTAGAGTTCCTCTATTTCTTCGTCAGTGTGAGTAATCGTTGGGGCGTATATTTGTATAATTTGTATATTGTATCTATTTAATAGTTATAAGGTTAAGGTAACTACTATATCCGAGATACTAGTTATTTCTAGTATTCTTTGATTCCATTTCTTGTT